AGAGGAGAGCAGGGGCATGCGACTGACAGCGGCGCTTCTCAGTCCTGACCCGCAGCCCTGGCTAGCCCTGGCCTACCCCACCCCACAGCTCTGCCGACGTGCCTCTGACATGCAGCACCCTGCGGCATTGGGCACTGAGGAATTGCCAAGTCAATGAGCTGGGTCCTTCCAGCCCACTGCCCGCTGTGCCATGCTGCCCACTACCAGGCAGGGCCCTGCCCCGGGGGTGGGAGTGTGTTGAGGCCCCCAGAGAAGGCAGTCCCCATCCTTCAGCCTGTGGAATTGGCCAAATCACAAACTACACCGGTGCTGTAAGGGACGTGTCAGCCCCAGAATCTCGCATCTGACAAAATGGGGCATCGGCCCAGCTGGGGTCAATGGGCCGGAGCCCAGCTGGTGTAAAGCATCTTTAGCTCTATTGACCCCAACCTTCCAATGGGGCGGGTCTCACTGAGTTGCTGTGATGTGTGTGACATTCCCTCCCACACCCGGGCACCCAGTGCATTGGGCAGAGCCTGCTGCTCTGCCGGGGCCGGTTCCTGAGCGGCTCCAGGTCAGGCCACAGGGCCATAGGGTTTAAGACCAGAAGAGCCGATTTGGACCATCCGCTACAGTCCCAGGCATCACCCACAGCAGGGGCCCCCAGCCAGTGCTGCCCCCTGCCCAGAACACCGGGGACACCAGGTCTGGAGTGAGATCCCAGGGCCAGGAGCCCACATGGTTCACACAATGCCCCTCAATCCCAACCTGCAGCCCCCTGCTAGCCCAGCCCTGGGCTCCCCCTCTGCCAGCTCTGCTGGTGCCCCTCAATCCCGAACCGCAGCCCCCTGCTAGCCCAGCCCTGGGCTCCCCTGACCACAGCTCTGCCGGTTCCTGTCAATCCAGACCTGCAGCCCCCTGTTAGCCCAGCCCTGAGCTCCCCCACAGCTCTGCCGGTGCCCCTCAATCCCAAACTGCAACCCTCTGCTAGCCCAGCCCTGAGCTCCCCACCCAGCTCTGCCAGTGCCCCTCAATCCAGATCTACAGCCCCCTGCCAGCCCAGCCCTGGGCTCCCCCCGCCCCACCAGCTCTGCCGGTCCCCTTCAATCCCAACCCACAGCCCCGTTAGCCCAGCCCTGGGCTCCCCTGACCACAACTGCCGGTGCCCCTCAATCCTGACCCACAGCCCCCTGCTAGCCCAGCCCTTGGCTCATCCCCCCCCCAAGTCTGCCAGTGCCCCTCAATCCTGACCCACAGCTCCCTAGTAGCCCAGCCTTTACATCCTGGGCTTCTCTAAAGCGGGTCCCCGAGTGGCTGGGAGCCCAGCTCTCTGCTACCATTAGGAGGGGGAGGTAACGATGCTGCCTTTGGTGGGACACTTCTGAGAGTATCAATTCAGAACAAATTGTTTAGAGCAGGGCATTTACAGCCCCAGGCTGGTGGTTCTCCACCTCTAAGGCACACCAAACCAGCCAGATAGAGAAGACTTTGGTTTTACCCCACTGGCTAACCATAAGTCACACAAGCAATTCCCTTAGACCAGTGGTCCCTAACCTTTCAGTGTGGCGGGCGCCGGACGACTAGCCGCCGAAATGCCGCCGAGAAGCGGCAACATCAAGAAGCGCCGCCGCCGAAATGCCATCGAGAAGCAGCAGCATCAAGAGGCGTCGCCGCCGGAATGCCGCCGAGAAGCAGCGGCATTTCAGCGGCGACGCTTCTTGATGTTGCCACTTCTCGGCGGCATTTCAGCGGCTGCTTGTCCGGCGGCCGCGCTCCTTGGCGGCGGGGCGCTCCCTTGTCAGTAGGCGGGCACACATAGATGCCCTGGCGGGCTCCATGGCGCCCGCGGGCACCGCGTTGGGGACCACTGCCTTAGACACTCCAGTTTCTCAGTATCACCACCAGTGCCACTTGTTATGGGGATGAATGGTTATGAAAACCAATACCCCAGTAAAAGAAAAAAGGTTCTCCTGATCCCAAAGGACCAAACCACAGACCCAGGTCAATATACAAATCAGATCTTACCCACAAATCACGCTGTTGCCAATCCTTTTGAATCTAAAATCTAAAGGTTTATTCATAAAAGGAAAAAGATATAGATGAGACGTAGAATTGGTTAAATGGAATCAGTTACATACAGTAATGGCAAAGTTCTTGGTTCAGGCTTGTAGCCAGGGGCGGTTCCAGGCACCAAGGCAGCGGTATGTAGGTTGGGAGGTGTTTATCTGTCTCTGTCCCATGGTGTCTCCCGCAAGATCTGCCTGAGATGAAGCTGTTCCTGGCGCTCGCCCTGCTGGGGGCCGTCTCTAGTCGCTGTCTCTGTAAGTCCTGGCGCCCCCTGGATGGAGCCCCTCACTCAGCCCTGGGGGTAGCCTGGCCCACAGGCCACTGCCCCCAAAGGGGACCCCCTACAGAGGGCTACTGCATGGGCCCTATGGGCTTGGGTGAGACCCCAGCATGGACAGCACAGGGCTCAGTTATCCCCAGACCTGTGCTCTCACTGACCCCCAGCCCCACTGCATTCTGGACACTGGGTCCTCCGACCCCCACCCTTTTCTGTCCTGGCACCTGGGTCCCCCAATCCCCACTGACCCCCAGCCATGCTTTGTCTCAGACCCAGGCCCAGTGTACATTCCCCCCAGCCCCTGCCGTTGTACCACCCTGGTCCATACCGCCATGGGGGCACCTCTCCTCTCCGGTCATTTGGAGTCTGGGGTGCACCATGGGGCTGGAAGGGCCCATTGGTCTCTCTCGCCCTGGTGCCCTGGAGCAGAAGGTACGAGCCAAGCAGGGTAGCTCCGTTCCGGAGGAGGAGCCTAGGGAGCCGGAGCCACTGTGACGCGGGGAGGACAAGAGCAGGTTGGACAAACACCTTTCAGGGATGGTCTAGATAATACTTAGTCCTGTCTTGAGTGCAGGGGACTGGACTAGATGACCTCTCAAGGTCCCGTCCAATTTTATGATTCTATGATCTACAGCCCCCCACACTCCTTAAAGCCTCCAACCTCCAAACACTCAGTGTACTCCCCCATCATCTACAGCTCCCCGCACTCCCCAAAGCCTCCAACCTCCAAACACTCAACACTCCCCTTCCCAAACAGGGGTCGCTGTCTCAGTATAAAGCACCATTACGCTGGTCTGGCTGTGACAGGTACAACAAGAGCCCGGACAAACCTTACAGAACGAAGTTGAACCTCACTGAATTAAGTGTCAGTATTTTGGGAGGCCGGTGTGTTGAAAATGAAAATGTTTCTGCCCTATTGGGAGATGGCATAGAGGGAAGGTCACGACTAATGCAATCGTGGGAAGACATTAGGGACGTCAAAGGACTTTTGGGGACAATACGTCTGAAGTGGATTTGCTGGGAAATCCACAGAACGGAAGGAAAATGCAAATGACCCACCTCAAACCCCTCCCGCTCCCCTCCTTTTGCAGCAGCAGGGTGAGCAGCGACCCAGTGTCTGGCTGATGGCCTGGTCAGGATCTCTTCACAGGCCCAAAGAGGAGCAATGACTGAGTCAGAGTCACGGGTTGTTCTCTTTCTGAGCGAAGTATGACAAATGTGTAGTGCCGGGGCACCCCTGGGTGGGGGCTGCTCCCGCCAGCCCCATGCTGGAGGGGTTGAGCTCGGTTGAGCTGAGTAGCAGGCATGTAGGTTGTTTTATTGGTTTGAACGTTTTCCCTGTAGTGCTTTTACCATAAGAATAAAATGCGCTGGCTTAGAAGAGCTGCGTGGTACCTTCTAACTGGGGGCAGTTACGCTGTTGTTAGCCGATGGAGAGGGAGCAAGCAGGCCGACTTAGGCCGTCTGTTCCTGAAAGGATCGGCCAGGACACATGTGAAGGGGAAAGGTGGGGAGAGCGCTCCTTGCTGGGGGACGACTCCCTTCCCTGGGGTGCCTCTCTCTGCACTGGGAGGGAGGAACACTGCGCTGCCTGGCAAGAGGAAGACCGACATGGGTCTCCCCCTGTGAAAGGCAGTGGCTGGGGAGCTAGACAGGGCCATCCCTAGCTATTCTGGGGCCCTACGCAGCCCCCCCACGGGGGGGGGAGGCCTCCGCAGAGGGTGTGGGGCTGGCTTGGGGGGCAGGCGAGAACCGCCCCCCCCAGCACTCACCGGCAGCACGGCTGGGACCAGGTTGCTGCACTTCCAATCCCGCCGCCGGTGAGCGCAGGCCCTGCCCTGCTTCAGTCCTCAGGGGAGTGGGGGCAGGGCTGGGGCGGGAAGAGGTGGGACTGGGGCGGAGCAGGGCTGGGGCGGGAGGCTTTGGGGAAGGGGT